AAGCAATACATACCCTTTAAGAAATCCCTGGCCTCAACTGATTTGGTTCATTACTCTAGTGTCTTTTTCTTACAAACACAATAAAAAGCAGCAGAGCCGCACTCACATGGATATTCTAAACATATTTAAACTTCATAATGAACAGTGTCGATGGTTTTCTTCTCCTAAATNNCCATTCTTTTAGTGAATTCTCCCTCTTTGTTCGTTGTGTGTATGAATAGACTGCTTTACTTGCGAGGTCAGGACAGTGCAGTAATTGGGGCATTCATAAAGAGATTATGCCCGTGCTGAAGGGAACAGAGCTCATTTCAAAACTCTCTCTCACACACCGCTCCTGAGAATAACAACACACACATCTTAACTTGTATAAAGTAGCTCCACATTTTAGACACTGTGAGCTTAACTCTCCTACACTAGGTGGACTCTGCAGAGGAGTGTAACTGTATCTTGCAGAGGTCTACATACTGAAAGTAACAGGAGAGGGACAGTGGAGCAGAACTTCTATACTGGGATAGGTCTGTTTCTCGGCAGTCAGCAGAGGGAGACTGGCCAGCTGGTGTCAGTGGGTCAGTTTTTTTCTCACACAGCTAGTCCGCACATTAGAGAGGGAACTCATACGCACAGGAAACCTCTGAGTGCACAGCGAGAGAGAGAGAGAGAGAGTAAAAAGGACAACGCCTGCTAACAGTCGTAGCAGGATACATTAGGATCCGCTCGTGAACACATGCAGCTAACAAGCTCCTTTCTAAACTGGGTGGATTATTTCTGAGTGACAGCTGTCTGTCGGTGAACTGAGAGGGCAGAATGTCACGACGGGACCAGAGGTTTCGCAGAGGAATGAAAGGACGGTAAGGACTTACTGTTATTGGTGAAATTGGTGACAAAAGAAAAGGAGGAGTTTTGAAAGAGTGAACGAAAGTGAGAGAGAGAAATTGTAGGTCAACATCTGCAATACTTCCTCAAACAGAACTCTGTTGTGATAAACACATACATGACTATTCTATGCTCTTTCTACTAGTATTGCCTTGTCAAGTATCCAAGCAGCCTACAGTACCATCCATAACTAATGTTTTTTTTGTTTGCTTTAATTGTTTCACCCCATCAACAACTACTCTTCCTCAGTCTATATCAAAACATACACACAGAGCAAACTACACATGCGCACTACATAACACCATTCAGACAACATCCCTGTTACACCAAACACTGTATAATTAGATCAAAAACAAATGTTTCCTTTTAAGAACTACTGTTTTTTAAAGGACATCCAGCAGGGCGACACAGACAGATTGGGAAGGAAACCATGGCAGGAGGATACGTCATCCGTTTATTAACATTTGACCTACGTTGATCATAACATGTTTGTGTTTTGTACAGCAGGTCCTGGTGTGTTCACAGCCCAGGAACAGATATTAAAGCAGAGAGGTTTATAAATTGCTTAACACAAGAGTAAAGGGTGCAGCACGAGCCAGATGAGGGGGAATACTTTAAGGTGGAGAAATAAGAGAAATGTGAGGAGACGGACGGCAGTAGTAAACAGAGTGAGGATAAATTCTCTGGATATGTGTGTTTGGGCTGATTCCAGGGTTTTCTCATGACCAGATGTTTAGGTGGAATCGCAGATGTGAAGCTGGAAGGTTCCACATCCGTTGCCAGCAGCACAATAACAAAGACAGGAGGTCTAAAATAAACCTGCAGCTGTCTGATGGTTTTATTACTTAATTATTTCCTCAGTAAAGAATGACTAGGATAGATCTCTAACAAAACTTCCCATAGTGCTCCAACACAGTATCTGTAGGATTTAGTTAGTAACTGTACTTACTTACGTCTTACTGCATACGAGCTGCAGTGAACCTGAAGTTCATTATTACAGCTACGGTATCTATCAAGATGACCATATTGCTGTTATTTTTACAGAAATTACATAAAAAGTGATCCTATTTAGTATTTGCATGAAAAATCACACAATAAGTGACACAGTAAATTATATATAGGTATAATTCATCATGCTTATTATCACTTAAAGTTGTTTTACAATATTTAAGACTGCACATGATTAACTGTTTTCCTAATGTAATCAGTAAAAAGCTTTTAATAAACAAAATGAATATGACTGGTTACCATCAAATGCTGTCTTTAACCGTATCTTACACTGGAGGAAAGTTGAGTCTTTCCCTCCACAACTGCTTCATTCTCAATAGTAAGGCAACCTTTTCATTCCCTATTGTATGAACAGCATGACATTTACAGTTGAGAGGAAACATGGTGCTGTACTCTGTCCAGGAAGTCCACTCCCACTCCGGTTGTAGTGTCCGAGAGATAAGGAAGCAGGTTTTTTTTGTTGTACATAGGTATTATTCTACATTCGTTTGAAGCCAGGATGCCAGAGACAGAGAGTTTCTGAGTTTTCAAAGGACTGAAAGTGAACATGTTCATGAGTAACTAGTGTTTTTTTAAAAGTTAACTGTCATAATGTTTTGTTAAGTTCCTTTTTGCCATCTTTGAGTAGGTGTGGCCACTTAAAATTAAATTACAGTGTTTTCGTGAAGACATGTGACTAACCAGTGACCCTACATGAGTAGTCCTTTTGTGAGGAAAAGAAGAAGAAATGCCCTCTCAGTTACGGTGACATCAGCAGTTCAGTATCTATAATGCATCAATTCAACACCATCCCTGCAGTGAAGATAACTATATTTCTTCCAGGCGTTTGCTGGAGAAACACCAGCAGCTTGATGTCTCAGCCCTTAACTATATGTCTAATAAAAGCATCACGCAGGGTCAAACATGTTAAGAGTGGAAAGGAGTATCAGTATCAGTGACATAGCAGAATAAAAAAATAGGTTAACTGAAAATTCATGGTCCGACTGACCTGGAAGTGATCTACCTGATCCTGCATGTGACGATCCAGCAGGTCAACTTTCCTCGTGTGTTCCATCACTGATCAGGCTCACGTTACTCTGTGCGACCGGATCACTGAAGTGTCTATGTCTTACAGCCTAAATCTAAATCTTCATCTTCTCTTGTTTCATCTTCGTGCCATCTCATTGTTTCACTGTCCCTCTCGTTCCTTGCTTTTCTCTTTAGGTGTTGTGAATGCGGCTGCATTCTGTCTCACTGGTACTATGAGCGAGAGGGGCAGCTCTACTGTAAGAAGCACTACTGGGCCCGTTACGGAGAGCACTGCCACGGATGCAGGGAGACCATCACAACAGGACTCATTATGGTAACATCATAATCACTGAAAATGAGACAAAATCTGTCAAACCAAGACACCTAGAAATAGGGCTGTACAATAGGGTGAATATCTTAATTTAGTTAATAAGACTTCATTCATATTCTGAAATAATCGCACAGATTTTTTTAATAAATAAAATGCTATACAGGGGTCAGCAACTTTTACTATCTAAAGAAAGAAATCTGTCTGGAGCCACATAATGTTGATTGTCAGGGCAGATCAAGCATACCGGTAAGCCAGAAGCGTAGGTGAAAGCAAACAAATCCGTCCACGCACTATTAAATTCTCTTTCCTTCATTTCTTTTTATAGCCTGGCTAGGGAGATTTAAGATTGGTAGCTAGTACCTAATGAGGTTCAGCAAAATAACGAGGAAAAGTTGACATTGTTATCAGCTGATGTTTTATTCTGTGTGTAATAGCTACATATTTTTAAAACTGGAGAATGTAAGAATCATATCATTATTTGTCAAAGCCACAGGGAGCCACGAGGGGCTAAAGAGCTGCATGCAACTTCAGAGCTGCAGGTCTCTTGGTACCACAAAGTAATAAAAAACACAAATTCATTGTGTGTTATTTCGATTATACTTTCACTATATGTCACTTCCCTGAAATACTGTAATAGGGTAAAACTGTTCCTTAACAAACACTTCTTGCTTGTGCAGGCCACATACTTTACCGTACGTTGCCTAATTTCCTGATCAGCTCTTCTCTTCTGGTCTTAATTTGTGATGCTGAATAACATTTCATTTCACAACATCACAGTTAAAGACCCAACAAATAGTCCTGAGCCAGTCGCCAGCAGATAATCCTCCTGTTTTTCTGCTAGCTCACGCCAAAACATTTTGAACACAGCCAGTAACAAATCGATTGATATTTAGTGAGCTGGTTTTAAAAATAGCTGCTTTATTGATCATTTAAGACACTATTTGTTCAGTCTGATTAGTGGCCATTCAAATATCGAATATGTACATTATGTAATATTAACAGACATAATTATGGCCATAACCTCTGCTAGATCAAATATCGCAATAAGAAATACCAAATCTCAGCATGCTACAACAACTAGGCCTGTTCAGACATTAAAGGCCTTCCTGCCTCTTGGTTTCTTTCTGGTATGAAAGTAAATTCTTTTTTTCATTTAACTCTCAAATCAAAGGATATCCTCTGAAAACATCCTGACACTACAAGGCCTTGATGCAGGAATGCACAGAAAGATAAAATTGAGAGCTGCATTTAGCCCCTAAAGTTTGACCCCACCAATGTGGGGGTAAAAACCAATATTATTCCCTGGGCCTCTGCTTTGTGTTTTATCACACTTCCTCCCTGTATGAACAGGTTGCTGGAGAGCAGAAGTACCACCCTGAATGCTTCACTTGTATGAACTGTGAAACGTTCATTGGAGATGGAGACACTTACACGCTGGTCGAACGCACCAAACTCTACTGGTAAGTTTGAAACTGAAAGCACAAAAATTAGGCAAGTCATCTAAATACCTGCTTGTGGAAAGCTAACAATTTTCTAAGTCGAAATAAGGGAGTGAAATGGAAAAAGTATAATTTTTAGTTCTTCTTGATTCTGCAGTGGCCACTGTTTCTGTCAGGGTGTAGGATCAACTGTGACGTCAGCTTCTCCCCTCACCAAGAGACCTCACATGGTGGCGCTAGTGTCTTTCCCTCCCCACACAGGTGGCCAACGGGGTCTGACTGTAGCCACTGACCTCAGCCAAGAGAAAGGCCCTCTTGTTACTGTGAAAGGGTGAGTCTCTGAATGTTAGGCATGAGTGCTGAACTCCAACTCAACCCAAAAACTGATCCAAGAACCCCTTTCTCGATTTTAGTCTTAACCAATTTTTCCTGCGCCCATTCACTCAATGCCATTTTCCCTCAGGTTAGACTCATCTGTCCTCAACCCTGACCTGCTTCCCTCTGTACACACTGGTGACCGAGTACTGGAGGTCAACGGCATCCCTATCCGCAACATTTCCCCAGAGGAGGTAGGCCTCGAACATCCCACCGATTCAGCATAACATCATAACTAAATGAGACGTAACTTCCTGGCATACAGTCACCAAAGGTTATCACTGTATCCTTTCCTCTAGATAAACCGTGTGATCCAGGACACAAGCAGACCACTGCAGCTGACCATTGAACACAACCCGCAGTCTCCAGATGACCTCCCTCGCTCTAACAATCCCCAGGATGACCTCAGCTGTCCTGACCCCTGTGTCCCTGCGTCAACCCACAAACTACCAAGTCTGGAGGAAGAGCCAAGTCCAGGAGAGGAGACAGCGGAACCAATCAGGTTGAGCCTCTCCCCACCTCAGCACCAAGGAACCACGGGAATGCGATCCAGACACATTCTGTAAGTGCTGTCTCTCGGCTTACTTTGATCATTATTCCCCTATTTGTCTTTGTCTAAGTCTTTCTTTTTCTTTCACAGGCGCAGCTGTAGTATAGATAAGTGTCCTCTGTCCCCTGGAGCACTGTCACTTTTATCTCAAAGGAGAGACATGGTTCGCTCAGGGTCTCTTCGTGTGGACTCTGGAGATCGGACCCATCGCATCTTCAGACCTTCAGACCTCATCCACGGAGAAGTGCTCGGAAAGGGCTTCTTTGGACAGGCTGTCAAGGTACCGCAGTTCATTTTTTTCCTCACTTTCACTTTGTGCCTGTCATTATTATGGCTTGACTTGGTTGTCGGTTCGTTGATTCTAATCTAATCTAATCAACCTGTTACTGTCAAGGTAACACATCAAGAGACAGGAGAAGTGATGGTGATGAAAGAGCTGATAAGGTTTGACGAAGAGACACAAAAGACTTTCTTGAAGGAGGTAAGTGGTCATCAAAGCAAGAAAGGCCTCATGAGTTAATAAGTAAGCAAGATAACCTCAACCAACCCCGCTGGTTGTCACTTTATTTAGGGATACAAAGGCCATAGTACATATTAAATCTAAGGGCTCAAAGTTAATGAAGAGGTGTGTCATTAATTAAGTTAGTATGAAAGCTGGATTTTATCAGGAATGCTCCATCTAACACCATTATGAGCGTTAACCACAATTTCTCTCAATTTGTACAGGTGAAGGTGATGCGCTGTCTGGACCACCCCAATGTTTTAAAGTTCATTGGACTGTTTTATAAAGACAAACGAATAAACTTTGTGTCTGAGTACATCCAGGGAGGAACTCTCCGAGAGACCATCGTAAAAATGGTAAGTTAAAATTATTTTTTTCTGTTTCTCCATGAGTACCATCAAGGGTATGTTGGTCACTTTCTTGTTGTTGTAGGACAAGGATTTTCCCTGGAGTATAAGAGTGGGTTATGCCAAAGACATTGCAGCTGGAATGGTGAGTCTTTCTGCTCAATATTCAACAAGTAAAAGGTTTAAATCATACCTTAATCTGGTTCCAACTTTCCATAATGTAAATAACGTCTCTCCTTCTAAGGCCTATCTACACTCCATGAACGTTATCCACCGAGATCTGAATTCACACAACTGCCTTGTCAGAGAGGTAAACAAATGGTTCACACACATCAACAAACATCTTCACTGCATAATACACAAACAAAGCAAAACATTACAATTTCCCCACTGTGCTGCAGTGTGACACTAACAGTTTGATTACTTTATTAAGTTTCAGAAATGTAAGGAATTAGTGTGAACAAACAAGACAAGGGGAAGGTTTTGATAACTATAACTCTATTTTGGATCCAATTCCAAGTTAGTGAAATAAGCCAAGTCTATAAAATCTTTTATGTGTTCTTTTTAACAAGCAAAGACTATTTTACAAAACACATCGTCATATAGCTAACAAGCAATTATGTAACCTATCTGACCTATTTGACTTATTAAACCTACATATAACTTTTGTTTGTAAAAATAATTCTCTTCATAAATAAGGCCGTCTTCCAGCTATTGCCAGTCTTAAAACTTTGTAGAAAAACTGATTGTCAAACTCTACTAACAACATAGTTTTAACTAGGAACAGTGTGTAATATTTAGTACATCTAGCGGTGAAGTTGCAGAACTGAATACAGAATGCCTTCCAATCGTGGAGGAGAAACTAGGGTGGCTACACATAGCACTTTATACAACAGACCAAAACAACATTTAAAAACAACAAAGCATAACTCCTTCATTAAATTTTCTTTCTCTGTCTCTCTCCTTTGTTAGAACCAGTCTGTGGTGGTGGCAGATTTTGGACTGGCCAGGCTAGTGACGGAGGAGAGGAATCAGGGGAGGACCTCCTCTCTGGAACGGCCCACAAAGGGGACACTGTCAGAGCTCCGCAGGCCTGACCGAAGAAAGCGGTACACCGTAGTAGGAAACCCCTACTGGATGGCCCCTGAGATGATCCGTGGTGAGTGCACGAGGTTTCAGTTATAGGAAGGGGTCACCAATCTCTGAATCAAGAACCGTCCTACTGCACCTAAACACAATTTGACAGAATGTTTCCATCTCCTGAAGCCCATAAATGTGGATTATCTGTTTCCAATCCTGTTTCTAGAGGAGGTAAAGAGATTAAATTTATAACATCTTCGGTAGCCTGGAATGGGAAGCACCACATCCACCACCATTACTGTCAACACTGGAGCCCCCCAAGGCTGCGTCCTCAGCCCCTTTCTCTACACTCTGTACACCAATGACTGCCTTAGCCCCTCTCCCATTACAAAATACTTCAAATACTCAGATGACACAGCCATACTCGCCCTCCTCTCTAACACCGAATCAGTTACAGCATATCACCAATTCATTGCCCACTTCACCCAATGGTGGTAAAGACGTCCCGACCAAGACAGTCGGCCTTCTCCTCACGTCACAAAAAGAAAAGGACTCAACTCGAAGAGAAAGAAGTAAAACTCCATACCAGAAGACCAACAAATCATGCCCAATCTCCATAAAAGCCAACCGAGTGATTGTTGACAGCTTCAGGTACCTTGGCATGCACTATGGACAATAAACTGAGTTTTGATCACCAACATCACAACATCCACAGACGCTGTCACCAAGACTTTTTCTTCATAACGTAAGCTAAGGACTCTCTCCAGTCAAACAAACTACTGCTTATGCTTGTACTGTAGTATCATTGGGACACTGGTACTGTAGGTATCGCTCTCCTCTCCGCCGTGCACCAACAGGATACAGTTTCTTAACCTCCACTAACACCTTTACATACCCAATAGCCATAGGATAAATATCATACCTAATAATAATAATATAAAGTATCAATAAAAAATAATATTTTTTTAATTTTTCATTTCTATGCTCATTTAATTAATCAATAACATTTAACTCAGCACAAATTTTTCTCCCCTCATCTATGTTCTAAAAGTTAACGCTTACTGCGGTCAAGTTTCATAGTCTTGAAACATGTTATCGCAATCGAATTGTCTGTCTCTATTAGGCCGTTAGCTTGGCTCATTAATTGGCTTAACGGCTTTCACGATTCCCGGGGAAGGCCAAGCTATGTGTTTTGGTGTGGAGAGTGACGGGCAAATTGACCAATCACGGTTTGATTTCAAGTGGGCGGGAAAAAAACAAAAGATCGTAGGCCTTCATGAAGTCCGAACATCGGAATCTGTGCAGAGTGGTGAGAGCGGTTGAGAGACAGAGTTAAATGGCGGAAGACGAGAGTGACGTTGTGGCTAGCATCGCCTTTTTCAAGGCGGCCTTTCACAGAAAAACTTCAAATAATAAAAAATGGAAGACCAACTCCAGAACTGGAATTAAAAGAAAAGGTTAAGAAAGTGGAAAGGCATTTGAAGACCGAAAATTATCGGCAATATCCATGGATGACGGGCTGTAAGAAAACAGGCTGTACTGCTGGAATTGTTTACTTTTTACAACTGGTGTATGGCGGCGGATTTGTCAGCCTTACAAATCTGACAAAGTCAGCCCACCAACATCAACATTCTGCGGCACACCTGCAAGCGACGGCCAGTTTGAAAACTTTTGGGGACACAAGAGTTGATCTTCAGCTAGATGAGCAGCGCCTGTGCATTTTGACCTCCCCAGGCTCAAGACTGAACTGACGGTCATGTACAACATGGCAAACTTTGAGGCAAGGAGCCTATAGACGATGCTGCACTTTCTGACTCTTAAAGAGCGATGATGACGAGCATGCGCACGCAGCTGTATCACCTCACCTGCCTGGTGCTGGCACTGATGTCCATAGAGAAAGGACTTCTTTTGGAGCTCAAATCAAAGGACAAACTTTATGACGCCGCCATCGCCCACTTCACAAAGAAAGACCGACGAATGGACTTTGTTTTCATGTAAGGTAGGCCTATGTTATAAGCCACCTTGATTATTATTTCAAGGGATTAAGATTACTGGCCAAGTGGACATTCATGAATTTGTATTTATTGCGGAGGTTGTCCCAGCGCAAATTGCCTTTAATTCAATATGTATCAATCAATCAATGTATCAAACGTATCAGAAGTGTGTGGTTGGATTTTTGTTTTCAGAGGGTTTTTATTCCCCCCATGCTCACTTGTCTGTCCCTTTCCCTGTGGAGAATTAAGGAGGTATAGTAGAACCTATAAATAAAAATTGTGACTTCAATTTATTTGACATAGGTATTCATTGCGCCATGCGTAATTGCGCATGGAGAGGCATTTGCACTTCATTGCAACTTTAAAAAATAGTCTTTGTATTACCAGCTTTGTGTAACTTTTGGCGTATTGTGCTTTAGAAATTGTATTGTAGATTGATGATGCTCATGAATTTATTTGTCAATGTGTGAATGATTTGTAATGCGCGGTGATTTCATAGTGATATCCATGGTAATGAAATGAGCTCGGTGTCTGTGTCAGCAGCGTCACGGGGTGACATTCTGGGTGACCTAATTTTATATTTCCAGATTTTGGCTTTAGAGTATGTTTATTTAATTTCTACTATGTAGCCTAAATGGTCTCCAGTTTTCTGAAGTTAATGTTGAGAATGTTTCTTGTTGCGGAGAATGTTATTGACGTTATGGTCTATTTGTTCACATCATTGTCATCGTTAATTAAAGGATTGCACTTGTTAAACCCTTTCAATTCATCGTACTGTTGCTTTTTTCCGTGATGATTTCTTTTCTCGGCGGTGATGGCTGAGGTGAAGGCCCAGCTGTAGTGCTCAACCACGTTCGCCACTGCCCTTGCTATAAGGGAGCGTTAGAAAACTCACAGACGAAATTAGCAAGAGGTTACATGTGTAGATATGTGTATATGTCTGGTATATGTGTACTGTGTGCTAGAGTTTGTGTTTCATGTTGAAGGTGCTTTTTGACAGACTGGTGAAACAAATTTCCTCCACTGAAGACCAATACAAGTCAGAATCTGAATTGAATCTGAGAATATGAAGGATCTAGTAGGGTAAACCTCAGGGTTACCTACTCGAACTAGATCAGCTCTAGGTCTAAGTATAACCCATAATAACCCTTAACCATTATTCAGCCCAATATAATCATAAAATGGTACATGATGATACATTGATATAAACTCGAAGGTCAGGTGGGTTGTCTCTTCACTGTGTGCTTGAAGGGTCCACTTCATTGACTCGAAGTTGGTGGATCACCTTTGGATCGGTCACTCTTCCATAGACAGAGAACTGGATCCTGGGACTTTTGCTCCTGTCCTCGTCTTTCTCCTGTTTCCAAGATGGCTTGGTTGTTCTCTTACCCCTGTGTGCTGAGGGTCTAGGTCCATTACTGACGAAGCCATGCCATGAGCAGGAGGGGAAGTGACCATATACATGACTTTGTTCAGTTCTCCTTACTTTGAGTCTGAGGGGGTCCCCCAGGTCCGATGTACTGAAGGTTGGAGGGAAAGACCTTGAACCCCCGAGTCACTCCCTTATAGACAGACCAGCGGACGCGCAGACTCCTGCTCCCCTCGTCTGTTGGACTGAAATCGCTGCCAAGAACACCAACATGATGTTCATTCATATTGCTGTTGGTTCGCTCTGTTTTCACTTCTTCTGAACTGATGATTCATACACGATACACCCCAACTCCCAATACCAATCTAAACATGATTCTGATGATACAGCTTCTAATATCTTGTGTTCAAGTAACTCAGACAACTCCTGGCTGCACCAACCATCGCAGCGGGAACAAGGGGGGTGGTCGAGTGCAGTGATAACAATGCTGCTTGAGATTCAATACCAAAGAAAAGTGAAAGATTGTTTTTTGGTGTCAACCGTCTCGACCCTCTCATAAAAGATTCGTGTTGTCACGCCATAAACAGAAAAAATCAAGCAGGCCTAGTTTTTATTACAAAATAGCCTTAAATGACACGACACCAAACACACAACAAAACAAGACACACACCAACAAAAGTTCACTGTTATCCTGGAAAGACGCAACACTAAAACTGTACATCTAACCAGACAAAACAAGGACTTTATTCCTCCTGTCACCATTGACAGTCTTCTTCAAACATTCTTCTTCTGGTCTTATTGTCCTTCTGTGATTAATGAGTGTTGCCAGTATTGTAATCAGACAGGTACAAATGTTTCACAGCAGCCATTGAGACATGAAATAAAGTAAGGGTAAAAGTCCCCGGCGCGTTAGCCCGCTATGACACTAGATGTGCTCATAGTATGAACCCATATGTGGCCAATATATAATCAATCAAAATGGTAATGATGATAATTTATATAGAACTGAAGTCCCAAGGTGGTCTGTTCTCTTACTTCGTCTGAGGTCCACTTTTCATTACCTGAAAGTTGGTGGATCACCTTGGTCGGTCCGACGGTCTTCATAGAAGAGAACTGGACTCCTGGAGCTTGCTCCTGTCCTCTTCCCTTTTCGCTCGCTTTTTCCAAGATGGCCTTCCATGTGTATGAGCTCCCTCCTCTGCAAGTTGTGTACAATGAGTATCCATTGATATCTCTCCCCAAAGCAGTTTAACAAGAACAGAATATAGGCCAGTTTTGTTTCACATATCATACTCACCAAAAGATGTCAAGAGTTAGTGGATGGGCAATGCTTTTGAGGTTGGATTCCCCCCTGGCTGCCGACCGCAACTCCTGCCTGAAAGCCCATTCTGCTGGCTTCCATTGCGTACGTACGAGCGGCAAAAACTACCAGGCCTGGATGCCAGGAACCTGATCAAACCAATCTGGATTCCCAGTGGGTCTATTGAAGAGCTGGAGAGAATTTACTGAGTGCAGCTTTCCAAACCAGCCCGAGCGACATGTCTCAGAAAAGATTTCCAACTTTGGGAACAAACCGTGTGAAAAGCTGAAGATCCTCAGCATACTATCAGTGAGGTTTCCAGAGCCTTCTCACAAAGCCAGAACAGCGTGTCCTGGAAGGTGACTGGGCAGTGGAACAGTTAAACTGTCGCCCAGAAACAAACGAAGGACATCAGC